GGTATACAGCTGTTTCAGCCTATTGGGCATCGTCAGTACCTGGCAGGCGGTCCTCGATTGAAGACAAAATGACGTTAACCATCTTGATTTTATTCAGGTTGAAGCCTGGCCTCCTTCCCCTTTTAACTGAAAAGACAAAATGAGAAAAACCAAGAAAGTACTTGATAAAAATAGCTGCGTAAACGCAAGCGAAACATAAGTGGAACCACCTATTGGTGTGACACCCAAGTCAACTTGGGTGTTGGTGGTTTGACCAATCAACCGACAATCAACGGTTGATTGGTCAAACCACCAACACTGACATGAAAACTTGGCAAGTTGACTTGGGGGTCACACCAATAGGTGGTTTCACTTATGTTTCGCTTGCGTTTACGCAGCTATTTTTATCAAGTATTGACCATCTTGGTCAGCCCGACAATGCTGCCACATCGAAGGGCTGACCAGGAACGCGATCCATTTCAGTGGATCAGTGGATTTCATCGTGAGGGTATCAAGTGTTTTCAAAATCCTGGCAAATCCAGTTTTTCAGAGGTAAATTATGTGTTAGTTTACCGGCACAAAATATATTAGGAAAAGAAAAAGATGCCGTTACTATTGACTATTTATGTTTCATATAGTTTCTGTATTATGTATGATTGATTACTTGTTTATTTTCTGCAATTGTTTGACACGCGTTAACTATTTTGGCGAGAAACTCTTTGAGAACCGTTACGATCTTTGGAATGGTCCTAATGCTATTTAGTTTATTGGCTTGCCAATATTTTGGTATAATTAGAGAATAATTAGAGAATATATGGGTATATGACGATTACAAATAAATATCATAGAATCTACTTAATTTTAAGTAATTCACTGTTTCCAATTCCTAACTCTCAAATGAAATCTTATTTTTCTGTGTTTTTATTTTTATTTCGAATGAATGTTTCAATTTCGATTTGATGATGTGAATATGTGTAGAAAGTAGCGAGAATTAGAATAAATATGATACTTCACGGAAGCTCATCAATTTTTTTTTATTCAAATAGCCATTAGAGTTTGTTCAGGACTGTTGTATCAAATATTCATAATACATGTGTTTCTTCAAACATTACGATATCCATTATTCACTAGTGAATAATGAAATCATTACATAAAAGCAAGTAGGCAAGTTCGTTGAATATGTCAATTCCATCCACCCGTCAATAAAATTTACCACTGAGAGGGAGGTAAATAATTCAATAAATTACCTTGACTCAACCATTACAAAAAATAACAATGAACATGAATTTGCAATTTTCCACAAACCATCTTACATAAGTGATTTATGACTGTTAAATTTATGAATGTTCAAGTTTTCCCAAATGTCCATGCGGTTTCCCTTGTTGACTTGTTTTATGAGTTTTATGTTCTATGGTGGAGGGAAATTATGTTTGTTTTGTATGGCGTGTGTTGCGAGGTTTGATTCATATACTTTCGGATTTATGTACCTTTTTTGTGTTCATTGTACCTTTGGATCAGTTTTTTCTTGGTTTGGCCGATATAGAATTTGTTGCAGTACCTGATGATAGTACCTGATGCAGTACAAATACAGGCAAATTCACCTAAAGTACCTGAAATACCTGAGTTGAGACGTTCTGACCGTATAAAGAGGCAGACGACAGGATGACAAGATCAGTTTGAGGAATGTCTAGAAGATGACCGTACGACCAGCTGTCGAAAGCGCTCGCAGATAATTAATAGAAGATATAAAGCTTCAAATCCTTTTTGTGAAATTTAATATTGAAATAAAATTAACTATAGGTAATTAGACAAAAGTATTTTTATTCATTTCATTGAAGTTTCAGTATTCCTACGGATTCTGCAATTGTTTGACACGCGTTAACTATTTTGGCGCGAAACTCTTTGAGAACCGTTACGATCTTTGCAATGGTCCTAATGCTATTTTGTTAATTGGCTTGCCAATATTTTGGTATACTTAGAGAATAATTAGAGAATATATAGGTATATGACGATTACAAATAAATATCATAGAATCTACTTAATTTTAAGTAATTCACTGTTTTCCAATTCCTAACTCAAATGAAATATTATTTTCCTGTGTTTTCATTTTTAGTTCGAATGGATGTTCCAAATTTGGTATATCGATTTGATGTGAATGTGTGTAGAAAGTAGCAAATATTAGAATAAATATGATACTTCACGGAAGCTCATCAATTTTTTTTTATCAAATAGACGTTACAGTTTGTTCAGGACTGTTGTATTAAATATTCATTATGCATGTATTTCTTCAAGCATTACGATATCCATTTATCACTAGTGAATAATGAAATCATTACAGAAAAGCAAGTAGGCAAGTTCGTTGAATATGTCAATTCCATCCACCCGTCAATAAAATTTACCACTGAGAGGAAGGTAAATAATTCATTAAATTACCTTGACTCAACCATTACAAAAAATAACAATGAACATGAATTTGCAATTTTCCACAAACCATCTTACACGGACATTATCATACATAATTCCTCTACGCACTCTTACCAGCATAAAGTTGCTGCATTCAATAATATTCTTCATAGACTATTGAATAATTTCCAGAGAGAGCTGAGTTTGATCAAACAAATCAAACAAAAACTACAAAAGCAAGCCATGGACCACATCTACCCAAATTCAAGATGCGATAACGTCAGTTATAAGACATTGTCATTTTTGGCTGAACCAACCAATAATATTTTTTTGAAGAAAGACTGCGTAAACTTAGCTCACAGAAATAGTAATAGTCCGAATAATAGTGTAAGTGCATTTATTAAAAACAATAAAGACAAAACTTCGGTATCGGATAGATCAGGAGTATATCAGCTGAGTTGTGGCTCTTGCCCAAAACTGTATAATGGCCAAACAGGGAGATTATTTTCCAAAGAATTAAAAGCTTAGATGTAATTTTGTGAATAGAAAGACCAATTTCACATTTGCAAACCACCTTTTAGCAGAAGTACATGAGTTCAGTCATGAATATGACATGTTATATTTAGAAGAGAAGAGTTTGAAATTCAATCTTCTAAAATGTCAAGCAATCAATAGATTCAAGAATTCGGGTAACTAACTAAATGATCAATTAGAATTGAATAACCGTTACTGAATATTTTTCAAATGTGGGGACTGGGACATAAGCTCAGGTCATTTAATCCATTACAAACTCAAGTACTTGAAATGTAGGTACTTTAAATTTTAAAATTAGGTATACCAAGCATTAAATTTGTAAAATATAGTAGATAAAGATACGCCCGAAGAAGCCATTGTATGGCGAAACACGTGTCGCGTTTTTATAAAACTGTTTAGTGGAACATTTTTGGCTGTGAGTTTTAGAAAGTATTTTGAAGTGTTTTGTGTGAGAAACTTTGCCAAAAATCCGACAGATATAATTCAACGCGACAAAAGTTGTTTTCTGTTAGGAACTTGACAATAGAAATAATTGTTGTATACGTTTTTGTGAGAGATTGTATCAATTAATCTAAAAAGTCGTTCACTTATACTTCAAGGTCCTTCTTCACAGTAAATTAGAAATCAACCCTGAAAAATCATCGTTGAATTCCTGATAAAATCACTTATCCAATAGATGGCATATATGGGGTTATTTTGTTTGATATTTTGAAGAGGAGTGTGTACGCATCTTAGCGATACCTTATATTATTTCACAAAAATTAGGTGTTTCGGGAAATTTACATTACTGTCTTATTTATGGAGATATTGAACGTGGCTCCTTTTGAAAAAAATTCCCTATATGCAATCAATTATTTATATTTTGAGCTGTTTTGGAATCATCCGTATCTCTGAGTATAGGTTGGAAATGAGTCAAATCACTTTTCAGTATCGTCCTTCCATTTTTTATTTTTATCATTCATTTTTGGATCCATTTTCAACCCGTTTGATATCTTGATAGAGTTTTTCAACACACTGATCTCATTTCAGATCATCAGACACGCACAGTTTTGAAAACAATAAAACCTTCTCAAAAACAAACTTGGTCTAAGGAGCAAAACGAAATATAGTCAAAAAGTTTTTCGCTCCGAAAAAAAAAGAAGTGCTAGAATTGAATTAGTTCTTGTTTGTATCTAAAATATAAGGAAAAGAAATATTCATCATTATTAAAAAATAGAAACTGGGCTGCAATCAAAGAATACGTTTACTGTTGTTATAGAAAGAAGAAATAATATTAATAATTTTCATTTGATATTTTTTTACCCATGTTGTAGTTTCATTTCATTAGAAATTATGTTATTTTTTCATACTACGTGTTTATTAGTTTACCGAACAATTTTTGTCAGCAGTTCTCAAATTGAAGAATAATACTCCATTCAAATAAATGTTTATTCAACCTGATCAAATTTTTTCTGTGCTGAAATATTCCAAGTCTTTTTTATTTTGATTGAAATGTCTGCTGCAGGTTATAATCGATGATGATATGACGTATTCATCGTCATGAACAGTCAACATAATAAAAAAACATTGGTTTAATCTCCACTTCATTATGTTCAACCTGAACAACATCATACCTCCAAAAACTGAAAGGGAGTTTTCGAAAAAACTATTGCTAAGAAAAAGAGAATTGAAACTTATTACTAATATCTGTTTCACAAATTATATCTTACCTTATGCTAGTCACTCAGAATTTCGTTTCGTCATAGAAAACATACTTAGTGCGATTTTTACCTAATTTTTGAACTAAATTATATATCGGAAATCCGTAGTGCTGCTGCGGATTTTTATATAGAATTTATTGAAACTGTAGACATTCTGGATATTCACTATTCATTTCTCAATAAATTCATTACCAGATCATTCATCACATTTTAGATTTTTCGTTTGTGAAAAAAATGTCATTTTTCATCTACTCATTTCTACTCAGTCACACTTCGATTATTTTTGTGCAGTCAGGTTTTCAAATCTACAATTTCAAAGTCAAATCCGAAGTTTCCTGCTTAATGTCTAAAATTGATTTACACAACGCGATTTCTGTTGAGGCGTCCATGCCAAATAATTAGAATTTGAAAATCTACATTTGAAAATACAAACAGGAAACGGTTTAAAATATGTCTGTCGCACCCCTACGAACGACAACCCTCAGAAGTATAAACTTGTACTAGCTATAGATTAACGAGGTCTTACATTTTAACGTGTGATTCCGAACACTATATTGATATTTTCAACTTATAACATATTCAAATTTTTGTATCTAAGATAGTGCAGAGGTTAAAATTGCTTCGACAAGCTAAATGGAATAACGCACTGTTAGTAATTATATTATTATTATCCTAACTAGAACGGAAACAGTACACATCCGTACTCGACACCGTTATCCGAAAAAGCTGATTTCGGGTAAGTAGTCGAATGTGGGAAAGTATGAGTTCAGATCAAGCATTTTTCTACAAGTGAATATGTTACGAAGCTCTGATAAAACTTTTATATGCGAAACAATTCCTGATCTAAATTGCTTGTATAGATATAGGGTGATGCACGCACACGAACGCTTGTACAAAAAACATACAAAACAGGAACTTTTTCATAAAATTCTACATCTCTCAAAAAATTTTCCATCTCTATTATCGAAATTCTGCACCACGACAATCTAGTTAGAATCATGAAATGCAAGTGCAGCGTTGCCCGATTGTGGGCTGACCAACATGCTAGCCAATAAAAATATTCGTATAAACCTGGGCTCACAAAGACACTATTCACATCAGGTGTATACAATTACACAGCCACGCCTCCTGGCGAAGTTTTGTGAAAGTAGGTGGTGTATCAGCTATGTGTATATGGTGTAATGGTCGGCCCAACCGAAAATTTGCTAAACGTCATTTCACATGATAACATGTCCAACAACCTCTATATACAGTGGGAAACGTTGGTGAGCCCGAAACCGGGCCGACCGACGTTTCCGAGGGCTGACCAGAGTTCACATCGTATATTCTACGGGCTGACAAATGACCGTTTACATATATATATATATACCTATATATACATAGGTAAAAAAACGATTTCGTTGGTTGAAGTATGATATATATTCAATACTTGTGATAAAGAAGTATAACTGCCTCAGGTCTAAGATCTGTGATTCAGAATGAAGTTTGTCAGAAGGATATCTGAGGTGTTTAGAGTATATCAGCCTTATGAATCTCCTCTGTATTACTTCTAATTGGTTTATGTGCGTCCTCAGAGCTCCACCCCATGCTAGAATCCCGTAGCGTAGATGTCTTTCTACTAATGCATGGTATAACATTCTCATCAGGCACACAGTTATGTTTTCTTTGAGTTTTCTGAATTTGAATAGAATGGTTCTCAGTTTCTTTAATACGTATGTTATGTGAAGATTCCATTTGAAGCGATAGTCTATAATGATTCCCAAGTTTTTAATTTTTTTTACAGTGGCGCTTTCTATTTTCAATTCTTGGAAATCGGGAAGTCCAGGTGAGCTGCAGCTGAACGGTAAGTAATAAGTCTTGTCTGTGTTGATTGTTAGTAGTTTGTGCTTGAACCATTTTTTTATAATTTCGAAATCATGTTCAGTTTCAAGTTTCAGATTCTCCCACTTATCAGATTTATAAAATATAGCTGTGTCGTCAGCAAATTCAATTATATCCCCGGAGCATCTTGCGATTCAATAGGAATACGATTATATCAGTAGGCAATATAATAAGTGATAGATTTGAGAAATAGAGATGTTTTATGTTGTGGTATTGTTGAATGTGTCCTGAATCTCAAGTTGAGACGGTGTATTTTAGTTCTTTAGATATTTTTTCGAAAACGTAAAAGGTTTTTTTGTTTGGAGGAGTTTTGAAAACATTTTGGAGGATGAAATGTTCATCTGGATTCAATATTCAACCAACCCACATCTCTGAACAGATGTGAAATATGTTTTCGTTTCCGCATATCCGTAATGAGCCTAATGCATGCATTTTGGAGCATTTGAATTCTAAAACTGTCACTCTTCAAAATTCCTGGACGGTACACTACGTCTGCGTAGTTGGCATGTCAAAAAACTAAAGAATCGCAGGGTATAATTTCACTTTCTTTTTCGAGAAATGCCCTGTTGGAATGTATCATTTTCAAATATAACCCCGTTTCAGAATTTACGGAGTGTGTGCTTTTAAACGAAGACTGTGGTCAAGATATAAGCCCAAGTTTTTTAACTTCTTTCAAGAAAAGTTCTGTTCTGTTCTATTACATTAATTCTCATGCCAAAACAACGTTTTTTCGCCACTGTTCTATTGAGAAGCATTGTATCAGATTTGTGTGCATTGACAGATAGGCAATATTCGGTTGACATAGATATTAACCAATTCTAAAAAAGTAATTTCCTAAGATCATCTAAAAAATAGTCTCTAAAATCAATCATGATTAACCTGTATAAACAAGCCATTAGGTACAATGAAAATCAAATCGCTCACTGCATGACATATTCGTTCAAAAATCTCTCATGCAATATTTGGAATGTGAACACCATAGAAAGTCCATTGATACAAATGTGACTCATTATACATCCTCCCGAGGAGTTGTCCTACTAGGTCATCGTCCATCCTGTCCTTTCCAGGAAGGTGGACAGGTCACTGGAAGATATATCCTTTATAACGGAAGGCGTAGGCCAAGACTTGTCGAACATACACTTTCTTATTGAGGATAACTCCGGACACTCACATTGGACATGTCTGACAGTTTTATCTTCCTGTTCACACAACCTGCTTAGAGGTGTGTCCACTAGTGTCATATTATGGAGGTGTTTTCTTAGTTGACAGTGGCCAGTCAGAAATTCTATTGTTAAGCGTAGATTTTTCGTGGTCATCGCCAGATATTTCTTCGACACCAGCTTCCCAGAGTTGCCCAGGGTGATCCTAGCAAGATTGCATCTTTTGATTTCTAGTTGTTATTATTATCTAGCCACAATTTATTCCTTCAACAGGTTTTTAGCAGAATATTTCACTATATGCTATGCATATTACCAAAAATACAATTCTTTGAAATATGGGTAATCTGAAATATAATGACACTAACGACTAAAAAACAGTTTTGAATTATTGTATTTGTCTGTTATTCATTTTAAATGAGTTTCTCAATGGTAGATAATAAGTATGAAAATACACTCAGGAATAGAAAAAGCTAGTCTTTGTACTCCTTAAGATGCCAATTATTTGGATTAGTAAACCGTTGAAAAATTCACTCAACAGTCAGTCAATCTAAATAATCTAAATCTAAAATTAAAACAAATATAATGGTATGAGACTCGAAATTTTTCAATCATTATTCAGAGGTCATTTTAACAGACAATCAGGAACTGAGAGAATTAGAAAAAGTTACCAAAGCCATGGTGTCGATATACATGACCGAATGAATTTTGATACAGCATACTTTTGATAAAAATAATACTTACTGCATTGCTAGTATTTATGTCGATATTTGATTTCAGATGTTCTAGAACTTTGTCCAATTGGCCATTTCGGGCAGCGCGCAAGAATGACGTATTTCCGTCAGACTGAAACAAAAATGCATCATAAGTAAGAAGGTACATAATGGATTTCACAAATGTAGCATATTTCAGGCTGTAAGATCGAGGGAAAAAAAGCAGGATTGAGTGGAATTTTTCTGTCTCCTGTCGCAGAGACAAAAGCTAATTCTGTTTTTTGGTGGACATCCATTAACTGTTTATTTATTAACTTTGTGTTACTTATGTATTTCCCTACCAATAAAAACGTTTATTATTATGATTTTCATTAAATCTATCCCAGTTAAAAAAAACAGATTCATAAGTCTTGTAAGTTCTTTATTTCTACTGACAGCTTAATATTGCCATTGATAATACATATAAAAAATTCTAAATTGAAAGGAATCACATCAGATATTAGTACTCAAACTGACTGAAATTCCTGAATATATAAATTACTCAGGAAATAGGTATAAAGTGCATGTTTTTATTGTCCTGGTCCGCCTCAAGTTGGAACTGCTTATTGTACAAGCAAGCTGTTGAAAAATTGAATCAATCTCATGATGGATATGTAGTAGAAGTTATTATTCCTTTACCAAATGAATAATGTTCGATAAAATAACGAATTCGGTGATATACCTGTAGAACTGAATCAAGGGAAAAGATTCGCAGTCCTTTAACTTATGCACCAAATTCTTAAACAGCAGAAGCATCTGGATAAAAACAATTTATCTGGTGGATTTATTTAGCCGAGTTTAAATAGGTCTGGGTCGCAATAAATCCACGCGGATTGCAGTGAAGGGTCGAAAAGATACATCAACTTTTGATCTACCTATCTATATCTAAAAAGTGCCCTGTACCAATAGCAATATCAATCCAATAACAAACATATCGGTAGTGCATTCGTAAAATACATTCACGCGACTGCCCGCGTTCGGGTCGCATTCTCGGCGATGGCGCTTCATTGCTTAGACCGCCCCTCTACACCCGCATATTCGTCCCCCGTCATCTTACACTAGACGCGAAGCGTAATGGCTTTCTGCGTTGCGTCAAGTTGATCTTATTGTGATGATTTTCGAACAATTCGTTCAAATTACTTAGTGTAAAAGACGAAGATTATCTATATTAAATACTCAAAATGACAATTGCATTAATTTTTATAAGAATTTTACATATATTCTGAAACAGTTACATATTATTGACGCTTGAGAAAGCCACTGTATTTCGCGGTTTTTGTAAAACCCTTTATAGTGAAAATTATAAACCCTTTAATAAGTTTTGATATGAATTTCCATTAAGTATCGGCCAGTTCTATTCACTCAGATATTTTGAAATATGCATTGTAAAAATAGTATCCAATTCAATTGTATTTACGGTTCAGCATTTTGCATATAGTGCTACCACATAAGAGGTAGATATATGCTATCACAATTTTTTTTGAACTGTTCAAGATTACCAATCTTACAGTACATTATCAGCATGTAACTGTATAGGCAGCGCACGCCAAGATAACTCTCAGGGAGCAAGAATTTTTCCGACTTACTCAATACTTATAGTTATATTATGACGAGAATTACACAAAACCTCTGTAAATTGTAGCCTTTCTGTTATTCTGATGAAAATTTCATCTAAATCCGTTCGATCGTTTAGGCATGAAAGAGCCACAAACATACATACAAACATACATTATGTTTACTCATTTCTATACTCCTGTGGGCTTCTAGATGTCTGTTTACTTGTCTAACTAATCTTAATGAACAAAATATGATGATCGACTGCCGATTTTTGGTCTTCCATATTTTAGATGTGCTAAACATTCCTTATATCTCATTTCAATAGATCTTTTAGTCTGTCCATAATATTTTGCATAGCAGTCCTCACATTCAATTTTGTAAATAAGGCCACACTGTAAAATTAATTGAAAACTTCATTACTACATCAATGGGTCCAAATAGTGCATTATAAATTTCATGTTTTACATAAAAATTATAGTAATACTAATATAAATTAAGTATCCTATCACTGTAAAATTGTTTCCGCACTAATAGTCCAGTCATCTTAGTCAAATTTAGGTAAGTACCTCGGAATTTGAGATACCTATCTGAAATTATTGAAAATTATGTATTTATTGATAATTAATGAACTGTATATGGCGTGTTTTTAAACGGGACTGCTGGTTGACCTTCAATAATGCTCTAACCCCGCGCTCTCCGCCCTCTTTCTCAAAACTGTTTCAATATATAAAAATTTTTGAAACTAAATTTGTTGGAAATTAAATCCTCTATAATATTGATGATAAATGTGAATGACAAAAAACCCTCAGGAAACTAGATATTTTAGATTTCAATAGTCGCCCTACCATATGTAGGTTCCGAGACAAAATTGAGAACTTCAAAATACGTTGCGAATCTATTCCCAGGTGAACTTACTAACATGACTGGACTATAATGAGAAATGGAATGAGATATGGAATGTAGTTATTAGTTCCTTTTTTGAATTGAACACTTTCACCAAATTTATTGAAAATATTTTTGTGTTTTATCTATATCACAAAAAAATTGAAGAAATGATTGGTCTACCTATCGCTTCAAAAACCGAATTTGTAATTTCAATACTGAAATATATTCTTCAAATAATTTATCAAGACCATAACTAGATGAAGTTAATGATTTGGTGTGCCAAAAATGTGTTTATAATGTAATATAATCTAAAGTTAACTCTAATTTTTCAATGGTTTATCCATGGAAAAAATAAGAAACTAGTGAAAAATTCAGACCGCTCCAATTTTGTGGGCAGCTTCTAATATTTCAGGAACACCAAATAAAAAATTGCTTTATCGACTTTACTAATTTTTCAGCGTGAAAGTTGATTTTTGTATGAACATTTTCTAGTATATTATTGTTTGCCGTGTGCCCGAAGTTTATATCACGATTATAAATAGGTCCTCTGAGAATGAAAGCAGATAAATAAACATTGTTCGAGTCATTCAAACACAAACAAGTTAGACGCCAATCTTATGCCAAATATCAAGAAGCTATTACGAAATAGGTGTTTATAAATATACCATAGAACAGCCAGTCTGAGAATTAGAAGTATGGTTCAGCGGAATAGAAAATTGATCTGATGATTTCCTCGATTGATCTAGGTGGAATTATAAGCTCTCGTTCAGTGGCGGATACAAACGGGGCACCACGAGTATAATGACCCTCCAGCTTCAGACACAGAAATGAATGAATAATTCGCGAGTTTATAGCTCCCACAGGTTATTTTTTCGTCAGTTCGGTGACGAACTGAAAAAATCCTGAGTCCTCAGCAGTATAGTTTTAGCAAAAATATGTCCACTTTGGATGCTGCTTAGTCATTAACTCGCGCCATGCAAACCAGTTTGGAAAGAAAAGAAAAATTTTTGGGAATCTTCACAAACCTAAATGCAGCTTTTGATTGTGTTGATCATGACATACTACTGAGGAAAATGGAGTACTACGGAATAAGAGGAGTGGCACTCAAACTAATCAAATCCTACTTGTCCAATCGATTTCAAGTAGTTTAGTAGTTAGAGGAGTTCCTCAGGAATCAATATTGGGCCCCCTTCTCTTTATTATTTATATTAACGATTTGCCATATATGTTCACCTCAAATACATAATTGTCTCATCTATGCTGATGACACCACATTTGGCACCAGTATCAATAAAGGGGAAGTTATGGATCAAGCAAAAACCTGGTTCTTGACAAACAAACTCATACTCAATGAAGAAAAAACCAAAAGTCTCATTTTCGAATCCAGAATATCCTAGACAGGCTGCACACTATATTTCTGGGTGTAGATGTAGATGTCAGGCTACTATGAAACATACATACAGAGTGGTCCAACGAAAAGTATGCACCTTGCTTTTTTCCTTTTTTTGTATTTTACAAAAATGCTCGGACAGGTCAATTTTGCTTTTGAGGGAGACACATTTTAGATGTATTTTTCTACCTGTGCCTTCAACCCCCTAGCGAGGGTCAGTAACAACCCTAAAATTTTAAACGGAAAGTGGGGTCGAGTGATATATCATTTGAAAGGGCACAAAATTATCTTCCCAATGATACCTCATTTGTTGTATTTCACTCAAACATGTAGGTATTATGAAAAAAACAACTACAACCCAGTACTTTGAAATGTGTAATTGACTTAGTAGAATCCTACTTCAGCAAGTGCTGAAAATGTAACCCATTTGCTTCCATACAATAATACAAATTTTGTTCAAATCTATTCCTAACATTTTGTAGCATATCAGGTGTTATACTTCCGCACTCTGCTGTAATTCGTTGGCGAAGATCTTCTATGGACTCGGGCTGCGTAGCAGAACATTTATTTTTCAAGTGTCCCCAAAGGAAAAAGTCTAAAGACTATAAATCAGGTGACCTGGCAGGCCCTTCGATGGGGCCTCTTCTTCCAATCCACCGTCCAGGAAACCGGTCATCTAAAAACTCTCTTACCGGAGCAACATAGTGAGGAGGTGCTCCATCTTGCTGAAAATGAAGCAGATCATCATTATAATTTTGGTCATTTTCAATTATTTCTGTTATGAGAGGATCAATTGTATCTTCAGCATGTTCAGGTAGACCTCACCAGTTAAATTCCCAGGAATAAAAAGTGGCCCTACGATATGACTACCTAATATGCCACACCGGACATTGATTTTTATTACTTTTCTAATCATCGGAGTATGTGACTTGCGGTATACATCATGCAATTTTAATAACATTTTCAGAATCAGAACCCCATTTCCTTTCAGTCAAGTCACCCTCTTTGTAATCCCCCTGCCTACACAAAGCAAGGTTATGCACCCTGATAGTATAGTTCGCACCCTTGCGTTCCTTTCGAGCAAGTGCATCATCAATTGTGCAGCATGTCCTTTGTGAACGTAAAGGCATGAAATTGGACAAGTTGAAAGGGAGACGGAAAGTTTCATGTTAACAGAAAGGAATATTATTTTTTGAAAGACTTTTTTTGTGGAGTAGTCACTATTAGTATTATTCTTGGAGTGAATAAAATAACATACCTGG